CAAAAAAAAAAAAAAAAAAAAAAAAAAAAAAAAAAGGATAATGAGTGAATTTTCTCTTATTTATTGATTTTTTTAATTATGTGTATGTGAATTGGTACACAAGAGTGCATGTGCCTGAAGAATCCAGAAGAGGATGTCATATCTCTTGGAGCTGGAATTATATTCAGTTGAAAGCTGCCTAATGTGGGTGCTATGAACCACACTAAGGTCCTCTGGTTGAGCAGTCTGTGTGTTCTTTATCAATGAGTCATTTCTCTAGCCCCAAGTTTCTTTTCAAATATTTATACTTTTATTTATGTGTGCCTCTATGAATCTATGTGCACCATGTGTATGCAGTGCCTGTGAAGGCCAGAAATGGGCATCAGATCCCCTAGAACTGGATTTAAGTCAGTGATGAGCTGCCTTATGTGGGTGATGGAAACTAAACCCTGGTCTTTTTAAGAGTAGCAAGAGTTCTTGACCACCAACCCAAGCTCTCTAGCTCCAGGGGTGAATCTTCTGTATATACACAGAGCTCTTAATGAAAAGAAATGATCAGTTCTGCTTGTCATTCATGATGGTGCATACCAATAATCCCATCACTCAGGGGGTGTAGACAGAAGATTGGAGTTCATGACCAGCCTTGGCTACATGAGACCCAATCTTAATAAACAAACAAAAACTAGTAACAAAACCCTCTGAAAGTAGGCAGAGTCTAATATTTGAGCTTACAAAGAGACAGCAATAAATATTGAGTTTGATTTTATCCAGTGTTGGCAAGGCTTACAAAAACACACTGGCAGGAGTTTTAAATTAGAGGACTTTTAATGGGAAGGTCCTCAATATATAAAAAGAAAAATAATTACATATAGCCTGTGACCATTGAAATTGCCCTGTTAGAATTTCGTCCAACATTCACTCTCCAAATTATCCAAAAAACATAGTTAACAAAATGTTTAGCAGAAATAAACTAAACAGTCTTATGTGTCTGTGGCTTTTTGGTTCCATTTGGTGATGTGGATGGGGGGAGGCAATGTATGCTGGAGCAGAGAGAGCGCTTCCAAACACGGTGAGGGAGGGAAAGGCAAGCCGCCACAGTGTGCATACAGAAGAAAGGAAAGCGCAACTGTCTCAAGACCCAGTACATAGGAGGCTGAGGCGGAGACATCTAGAGTTGGAGGCCAGCCTTAGCTAAAGGGAGCCCCTTTCTCAACCCTCCCCTCCCCCAAAGGGGGGCGGAAATTATATTGCACCATAGCTTGTTAATTTTAATGTAATTCTTACATACTATTACATGTTACTTTACTTTGTACTGTTAACACATTACTGTATGTTACATGTTACTCTGCAGTGCAATACTTGTCAGTCTGTTGTGTACTAATGTATTGCATATTAGTTTACATACATTGTATGTCACATAGTAGTTAGTATGCCCTGTAGTTACTTATGTCCACTATGTGCATTGTAGAAAGGTACAAAGGAACCCTCAGGAGTGGAAAAATTAAAAAGGACTGTACTTCCTATCCTCTTATAACTTTTTTATTTTATTTATGGTTTTTTCAAGAGAGGGTTTCTCTGTGTAATATCCCTAGCTGCCCTGGAACTAGCTCTGTAGATCACTCTGGCCTCAAACTCACAGAGATCCGCCTGCCTCTACCTCCTGAGTGCTGGGACTAAAGGTGTGCACCACCACCGCCTGGCTATAATTTTTTTTAAACAGTTTGGGGTGCCACCTTTAATCCCAGCATTCAGAAGGCAGACGAAGGTGGATCTTTGCAATATAGAGGCAAGTCTGGTCTACAGAGTAAGTTCCAGGACAACCAGGGCTATTTAGAAAGACTCTTGTCTCAAAATACAAAACAAAAGAAAAACAGAAAGCAAAACAAAAAACAAAGCTTTGGGTCTTGGAGAGGTGGCTCAGTTGGTAAAATGCTAGCTACAAAAAATGTGAGGACCTGAGTTCATATTTTCAGTGCCCATGTAAAAAAGCCAAGTACTGCTACACAACTGAGGAGTGAAAACAGGTGGATTGCTTGCTAAGGAATCTCTCCGGCCAATCCAGCCAAATCAGTGAGTCAGGGTCCAGTGAGAGACTATGTCAAAAAGTAAGTGAACTGAGGAGTGAAAACAGGTGGATTGCTTGCTAAGGAATCTCTCCGGCCAATCCAGCCAAATCAGTGAGTCAGGGTCCAGTGAGAGACTATGTCAAAAAGTAACTCTAGAGACAGTTGAGGGAGATACAGACATTGGCTCTAGAGACAGTTGAGGGAGATACAGACATTGGCTCTAGAGACAATTGAGGGAGATACAGACATTGGCCTCTAGAGACAGTTGAGGGAGATACAGACATTGGCTCTAGAGACAATTGAGGGAGATACAGACATTGGCCTCTAGCTCCCACTCCAATGCACGTTTAGTGTGCACACACACATACATACACATACATGAGCATATAATTTTTAAAATAGGATTTTCTTTTATTTTTAATTATATGTATGTGTATGAATGTGTGTCTATGTGGGTATGCAGTGTGTGTACAGATTACCTGCAGTGGCCAAAAGAGGGCATGCGTGTGTGCGAGTACGCACACATACACACACACACACACACACACACACACACACACACTGAGCTAGTCACATGCAGTTGCTAGCCATCTGATGTAGGTGCAGGAAAATGAAGTCTGGTCTTGTGCAATTTTATCATTTATAATGTGTCTTCCATTTTATAATAGACACACATGAAAGAATTAGCAGATCTTTTCTATAGGTGACAAAAATTTGCCTGTTTTTACTTTTTTAAGCTGTCATTATCCCCAGGGTTATTGTATTGAGCATATGTTAAATTCATGTGATAGAAAAAATAATGAAGTTATTTTTAGATTTTTTTTTCTCTAGACACAGAGAAAGCATGTTATTTCTTGGCTGGAGACAGCATTTGGAGACCATGGGAATAGTAAACTGCTTTCAGATATTCATAATCCCCCACCCCCGCGCACTGTGGTAGCACTTGCGCTCCACTTTAGAGGAAAGGACAGCTGTCACATCTGTTTAGGACATCCTTTATGCCAACAGATTCCTTTTCTGTGTCAGCAGAATGTAAATGTATCATTCTTCTCCCCAACTTTAGAACAATGAGTGTGTGATGATGCTGTTTCATTTCTTTTTAATATCTGCCGTCTCGGAACAAGTTTCCTATAGAACCTTCCACACTGATTGCTACACATGTCAGGTCCTGATGGGTGCACACCCCATGCTGTATAAAATGCACTCATAAAGGTGAGGGGCAGAGATTTGAGCTGTACTTAGAGGCCTGCCTCCAGCCGGGTACACAGCCTATCTCAGCAGTCACAACAAGATGACCAATTTGGCGTCTGTCTGTCTGTCTGCCCGTCTGTCTGTCTGTCTGTCTATCTATCTATCTATCTATCTATCTATCTATCTATCTATCTATCTATCTATCTACCTACCTACCTCTTTATTTCCCCCAGAAAGCTGCAAGAGACCCAGATGTCCACCACCTCAAAGCTGGAAGAAGCTGAGCACAAACTCCAGACGCTGCAAACAGGTTGGATGCTCTCTGTCCTCTCATGGGGAAGATGGAAGTGGGCTGGGCAAGCGCGGGCAGTCTCCTGGCCTTTTCCTAGCCCCTCTGATACTTGTTGCTCCTGGGCATCCTGCAGTTAGCAGCCTTGAGCCCACACAACTGAAGCCTGAGTCCCAGGCTGCTCTACCTGACTGCATTAGTCACTGCATTGAGTTGCTAATGTGGGGGGGGGTGGCTCCCCTGCCTTCTTCCTCCCTGCCCCAGCCATCCTTCCTGCTCTTCTTTCCAACAAACACTTCTAAATCACCAAACTGTCAAGAACTGACATCTCATTTGGAACAATAATGGGGGTAGGTGCTACCTGAAATGAAGTTAAGAACTCTAATAACAGAACCTTTAAATTCTAAAAGATACCAAAAAAGGTTATACCAAAGTTTGTCTTTCTTTTTTTGTTTCTTTTTCTGAGAGGGAAGCAGCATGGTATCTTTAAATGTGGGGAGAAAAATAAGAAGACATCATGATCCAACTTAGAACACAAATGTTAGAGGCACAAAAAATAGTCACAGCCAGTTTAACAGTCAAATGAATAAATGCAGCTCTGCAAAGGAGCATTTGCTTAGAATCCCCCAGTGAGGGGCTGGAGTGTGACTCAGTGGTAGAGCCCCTGCCTAGAATCCCCCAGTGAGGGGTTGGGGTGTGGCTCAGTGGTAGAGCCCCTGCTTAGAATCCCCCAGTGAGGGGCTTCAAGTGTGGGTCAATTGTAGAGTACCTGGCTAGCATGGGCAAAACCTTCCATTCATTCTTTGCCGTGTGTGTATATACATACATATGTCTACACACATGGTATAAATACCACTTACGAATTCTAGAAAGTGAAAAATCAGTCCAGTAGAACAGTAAGTGAAGGAGCAGTGTACATCATAAGGGAAAGAGCTAACAGTTTTTAACAGTCAGAGATTTGCAGATAAATCGGTGGAAGATGGTTTTGCCCATCATTCTATCGGCTTTTTTTAAAACAGATACTGCCATTGTTGCTGAGGGTACAGGAGCATGGTCACAGCCACTGTGTGGATATGAATGGAGATTGCCTCTTGAGGCTGGCTGTGTGGTATGTAGGGGTGGGCATGTTCAGTTCTTTACCCAGACACTTCACTTCTGAGTATGTTAAAAGTAAAGCTAATTGTTCTGCTTGTGACCTGTCATGGAGAGACTTCTATCCTAGACCACGAAGGGGAAAAAAAAGATAAGCCTCAGAAAATACCCTTACCATTTATGGACCTATTAAGATCTCATCATGTAACCCAGGCTAGCCTGGACCTTATGATCCTCCTGCTTCTGCCTCAGTGCTGAAATGACAGGCACGTCACTATGCCTTTCTGTTCAACTAGTAAATGAAGTTGACAGTCTATAGATGAGGTTTCTGCTCCTACCACAGAGCACGCTACTTTAGAATAAACGTGTGTATGTGTGTGTACGTGTACATATACATGAGTGCAGCTGTCTGAGGAGGCATCAGATCCCTTTAGAGTTAGACAGTTATGAGTTGCACAACATGGGTACTGAGAGCCAAACTTGAGTCCTCTGCAAGAGCTTAACCTCTGAACCATTTCTCCAGCCCGCCATAAATTTTTTTTTTTTAATAAGTAGAGGTATCCTAAGATAGTGATTGAAAGTATAATAGGATCTGAGTTCAAACACTGGGAAATTGTACCTAGGGAGATCCAGAATTCGGGGCCAGCCTAGACTACATAAAACCCCATCTTTGAAAGCAACCTAAAGAGATGGGAATATAGTTCCATCTGTAGAGTGCTTGTCCAGCACTCAAAAAAAATATCTGAATTTGATCCCCAGTACCTAGAAAAGCAGGCATAGGTGTTGGCTCATACCTGTAATCTGAGTGCTGGGTTGGTAGAGGCAGGTGGATCAGACGTTACATGTTATCTTTGGCTATATAATGAGTTCAAAGATAGCCTGGGATACATAGACCCTGTCTTAAACAAGATTGGTCTTATATTGTGGTTTTTGTCCTTGCCTTTCAGCCCTGGAAAAAACACGAACAGAATTATTTGACCTAAAAACTAAATATGATGAAGAAACTACTGCAAAGTAAGTGTCTGTGTGACATCGTCCTCTGTCTTGTTGTTGTTTGGTTGGTTTTTTTTTTTTTTTTGCATTTGGTCAGGATGTCTCTGCTGTTACTAATCTACAGAAGATGGACTTAGAAGGCACTCAACCTCCTGTCATGATGCCAAGATACAGTATCAGTCCAATAAGTCTCTTGTATCACGTCCATCCCCACTGAAATGTCTTCCCTGGTCACGGAGAAGTCTAGTCTTTGCTTTTTCAGTGTGTGCATGTGTGTGTGAATGGATGTGCATACCACAGTGCACATGTACAAGTTAGAGGACCCTTTGATGAGTCAGTCCTTGCTGAGCCAGGGCCTCCTCTTGTCTCCACCTGCTGTACCCTGTAGGCTAGCTGGCCTGAAAGCCTCTAGGTGAGCCTCCTGTCTCCACCTCTTGTTGCACTGTAGGATTTCTGGGATTACAGATATGCATCACATCCGGCTTTTTATTTATTTATTTTTAAGATTTATTTATTATGCATACACTGTTCTGCCTGAATGTGTGCCTAAACACCAGAAGAGGGCACCAGGTCTCTTTACAGATGGTTGTGAACCACCATGTGGTTGCTGGGAGTTGAACCCAGGTCCTCTGGAAAACAAACAGTGCTCTTATCCTCTGAGTCATCTCTCCAGCCCCTTTATGTTTTATTTTATGAGTTTGCCTGTCTGTATGTCTTGCGTATGTGTGTGCAATACCTGCACCAGCCAAAAGAGGGCATCAGATCCTCTGAAGCTGGAGTTATAGGTGATTGTGAGCCACTATGTACGTGGTAGGAGTTGAACCTGGGCTTTTTTATTTGTGTTCTAGCAGTCAAATTCCCATCATCATACTTACACAGCAAGCACTTTTACCTGCTTAGCCATGTCCAGCACATGTGCTCTGCTCCTTTTTTCCTATGTTAGGAAAGAGTGAACTTATAAGAGATGTGATTCATGGTACACTTCTGTGGAAATTGTGTCACCTTTTTTTCTGGGACAGAGTGCCTTAGAAAGAATAAGCATAGCCCATAAAGGTGGCTTGTCACTGAGCCTTACAGCTCTGTGCTGGGCTCCCTGTGTGGGGACACAGGGATGAGGCTGAGCCAATGACACTTCCTGCCTACCTGACCAGGAACACTTGCTACAAGACCTCACCTTGCAGATGAGCAGACAAGGAACTGATATTGCCTAAGTTGTGAGGATACCACAGTCTGCTATCTATGGCTAACATTCAGACAGGCTGTGCAAGGCTGAAGTTTTCACAGCTTTTACCACAAAAAAGTCACCAGCAGCACTGCCTCCGGCCACTGGGAACACCGGCCTTGGTTTCTCACATGTTGCTCCAATGGGTATCAGTAGGGTCAGGTCTGAGTTATTCCCACCCTATTGTAATGAGAGACAGGACTTACACCCCTTACACCAGCAATCCTTGTCCTTTTTGTGCAGCATATGAGTCCAAGTATGTACTTGAGTGTGTGTTCCCATGGAAGCCAGACATCAGCTATATCCCTCAATCACTCTCTACCTTATTTTTAAATTTACTTTATTGTTTTATGTATATGGATGTTTTGCCTGCATGTATAACTGCACTGTGTACATGCCTGTTGTTCCCAGAAACCAGAGATAGCAGCAGAGCCCCTGGAATTAGAGTTATCAGCCAGTTATAAGCCACCATGTGGATGCTGGGAATCCAATTCAGATCATCTAGAAGAGCAGCCAGTGCTGTTAACCACTGAATCACTTCCAGCTCACCACCTATTTTTTTAAAGCCAGACATCTCAATACACTTGGAGTTGATGCGGGAGTTAGGTGGTTGGCCAGTGTGTAGGGAGACACTGTAGCCCTGCCTCCTAGGAGCCCCTACAGGTGTGCCTGACCAGGCCTGTGAGGGCATGGTTAGGGGAGGTCGAGGATGACTCGGAGGTAGTTCTTAAGGGGTGCAGACATGTGGAGAGCCCCTTGGCTCTGGCCTCGCTAGTTTGCTGCCTCTGGGCACGCTCTGGCTTGCGTTTGGCTGGTGTTTATCTTAATAAAGGTATCCTAACCTTACAGACTATGGATCATCTTCGTGCACGCAATACCAGTGAGCTCTAGGGATCCATCTAAGGATAGGTGATCCTCAGGAGTGGGGGTACCAACATGTGCCACCACACTAGGCTTTGTACACACATGGGTGCTAGGGATCTGAACTCAAGCCCTCATTCTTATAGAGCATGCCCTTTACTGACTGAGTCATCATCTCCCCAGCCTCAGGGCCATCTCTTGACCTTCTGCTCTGGTTTGTTTAGTAGTCCTGAGCCTTAAGGGCCTAGTTAGTTCCCCAGCCCTGCAGTCAAAGTTTACTAGAAAATGGAGAACTTAGTCACAGAGACCCAGATGTCCCCATCAGTCTTCCTAGCTGGCTGACTTGATGACATATCTAAACCTCATGGAAACCTTCAGGCCATCACCCTGCTTCCATGCTCTGCACTTGGACTTGAAGAGCACAACATGAGATCAGCCTAAGGGAATACTGGTTAAATTTCCTTGTAAAATCCTGTGGCTTTGGGCTTACCTCCTTCCATCCCAAAGACAGGGCCATCTGAGAACAACTGCCATCATCCAACTGGAAGACACATGCTGCCCCCGCCCTTTGAAAGCACATAGATTCCCTCACCCACAACACATTCCCACAACAGAAACCGTACCACCTTCCATGATGAAACTCCTGGACCAGTGTTCCTGTCCCCTTTTCTGTCAGTGTTTTATCTTCATGCCATATGATCATTTATGCTTGGACTGTTCTACTAAATAGTCTTTTTTTTAGTAGCTGAAGTTTTTTGTTTTCTTTTGTTTTTTGTTTGAGACTGAATCTCTACATAGAGCTGGCTGTCCTTATATACAAATAGCATGCTAATCAGCATGAGGCTTCTCCTTCCACTCCACATCACTGTCTTGATTGGCCTATGTCCTAGTGAGTTTGGAAATATAGTTTTTCATGTCACTATTTTTCATTATTAAGCTGTCCTACTTTCTTGTATGTGCTTGTTTATGTGTCTCTGTATCTATGTGTGCATGCAATAGCATACCTTTGGAGGTCAAAGACCTTGGGTGTCAGTGATCATGGATTTAGCATTCTTTTCTTTTGAGAGCTTTTGATGTGCGTGTGTGTATGATTGTGCATGTGTGTGAGTGTGCAGGTGTGTATGAGTGCATGTGTGAGTGTGCATGTGTGTATGAGTGTGCATGTGTGAGTGTGCATGTGTGTATGAGTGCATGTGTGCATTTGAGTGTGCATGCATGTGAGTGTGCATGTGTGTATGAGTGTGTGTGCATATGTGTGAGTATGCGTGTGTGTGTGTGTGTGTGCGTGTGTGTGCGTGAGTGCATGCATGTATGAGTGTGCATGTGTGTGCATGTGTGTATGAGTGTGCATACACACATGCTTCTGCTTGTGTGTATGAGTGTGTGTGAGTGTGCATGTGTGAGTGTGCATGTGTGTGAGTGTGCCTGTGTGTGAGTGTGCATGCATGTGTGAGTGTGCATGCGTGTGTAAGTGTGCGTGGGCCCACATGCACACGTGCGTGCCTGGTTGTGGGAGTCAAGTTTATGTCGGGTGTTTCCCTCAACAGTTCTCTTCACCTTAGATGTATTGACTCTGGGTCTCATTGAACCCAGAACTCATGATTCTGCAGCTCGCTTAGGGAATACCCATCCTGGACTCCCTAGTGCTGTGTTCAGGGAGCCTACTGTGCCTCCACAGAGTTTAGGTGGGTCCTGGGGCTCTGAACAACAGTCCTTCTGCTTGTGTGGCAAGTGCTTTCTTTATGCACCAAGACACATTCCCAGTCCTCTTTTTTGTTCTTTTTTGAAAGGGGGTTTCACTGAGCTACTTAGGCTGATCTCAAACTCCTAGGTTTAAGAAAACTTCCTGCATCAGCTTCTGAAGTAGCTGGGGCTGTGGGTATGCTGCCTGCCACACCTGGCGAGGATGTGAGACTGGACGGGTGGTGTCTAGATAGAAGAGGCGTGTGAAAGAGCCAGGCCACCCAGGAAGACCTGCCACAGTTCTGAAAACTGTGCCCGCAGGTACAGTGGGTTGATGGGTCTGGAAACGCTGAGCTTCAGGTAGACTGGGCTGAAAATGTATTTCCTTGATTAAAAAAAAAATAAGGACTGGGTGGGGCTAGGAAGGTGACTCAGACTGGGGAGTGCCTGCCATGCAAGCATGATGACCTGAATTGATCCCCAGCACCCAGAGAGAAGCTGGGCTTGGTAAAATTCACCTGTGATCCTAGCACTGGGGAAGGAGAGACAGGCAGATCCCTGGGGCTACCTAGACATTTAGCTTATATTAACTATGATCCTCAGGATCCGGTTAAAGATACTTTCACAAAAAATAAATAAATAAATATGGATGGATGGATGGATGGATGGATGGATGGATGGATGGATGGATGGATGGCTCCTGAGGAGAAAGCTGAGAGGTTGACATCTCTGGCACTCACACTCATGTGTGCATGAACACACAACTGGGATGGTTTTTGGTTTTGTTTCTTGTTTGTTTGTTTGTTTTTTCGAGACAGGGTTTCTCTGTGTAGCTTTGGAGCCTATCCTGGCACTCATTCTGGAGACCAGGCTGGCTTCGAACTCACAGAGATCCGCCTGCCTCTGCCTCCCAAGTGCTGGGATTAAAGGCATGCGCCACCAATGCCCGGCGGACTGGGATGGTTTTAAGCATCTCTTTAAAAAAAAAAAAAAAAAAAAAAAAAAAAGAATGCTCCAACTTGTGTTGACAAAGACCCTAGGAAGAGAGGTGCAAGGCAAAGGGAAGACTGCTCCGGGAGCAATTGCTTTATCCACACTGTGACCTTTGGGGCCTAATGTCTCTTGTTTTTTGTTTGTTTGTTTGTTTTTGTTTTTATTTTAATTAGAAACAAGATTGTTTTACATGTCAATCCCAGCTCCCTCCCCTCCTCCCCTACCACTACCACCCACCCATAAAACCCTACCTATAACATAC